GTCAGAAGCTCTGCCTCCTAGGTAGCCATTGGTTCTTCAGAGCACCCACATTTGGTTCTGATTGGTCAGTTCTTACCCAGTCAGCGTCTCTGGGCTTATCAACAGGGCCTGATCAGAAAGGCAGGCTGATCAGCAGCCCTGGTGGAGGCCTGCAGAGAAATGGAGGCGTGGCTGCTGGCCAGACTGGGAGAGAAAGAGAGAAGCAAGTGCTAATCAAAAGCTGCCACAGAGGCAATGGACCAGTCCCTGCTTCTCTCTTCAGGTCTCTCTCTGGCCCTGATTCCAACACTCTCAACAGTGAGTGCTGGGGCACCACACCTACAGCAGAAGCCTTCAGTGCTGGGTTGTCATGGCAGCCCAGGGCTGACTGCAGTACTGACTTCCGGTTGGTCAAGCCTCGGTCTTATCAGTCGTTGCGACCCAGGGTTTTTATATATTAGGATAGTAAGAATTTAATTTTATGCAAAATGCTAACATTTCTTTTAAAAGGTTCTAACAACCCTTTAAGGTGGTAGAAGGCCTCATTTATAGAGTGAAGAAAGAAGGATCAGCAAGATTAAGCAACTTGCTCAAAGAAACAGAACTAAGTAGCAGACATAGAAACTGAATCTAGGTCTGTCTCCAGAGCTTACTCTTAACTACTCTATTTTTGTTATTTGATAAAATAACCTAAGACAAAAATGCCACAAAGGTAAGAGTTCTAAGCATCTGTGTATCCCCTCTTATCAGTGTGTTCCACATAGCAGAGGGGTGGGGAATGACCACCTCCGTGCCATAAGGCCCAGGAAAACATTTGGTCTGGCCCTGCCAAGGGAACCGCAGGTGGGACTTAAAATTTAATAAATCTAGGAGCTTTTTTCATAGCAACATAAATTAATATTAAGTGAATTATATTAAGCAAATGATGTTATAAATATCCAAATGGCCCTTGGCAGAAAAATGGTTCCCCACCCCTGACATAGCAGATACCCAAAAGTTTAGTAAAGTGAATCACTTTACATCACAGTATTTAAGCTCAGTTCCCTAAGTGACACAGAATTAGTATGTGGCATAGTCCCTACTAACTTGAAGCTTATACATTGTGGCAAGGAGTTAAGTTTCATTTTTCCATTAATAGTTAACAATGTAATTCAAACCTTTATTGAGCCCCTAATAAGAGCGATAGCAGAGTTATCAGCACTGGGAAGACAATAGTGAACAAAATAGGGAATGATCCCTATCACCAATGAATTTACAATCTAATGACAAAAGATTATAAAATTAATTGCATAGTAATATATTCTCAGCTACAACCAACCACATGATCTCACTTTTATGCTGCATCTAATGAACAAAATAAACTGACAAACAATGAAGCAACTGACTGTGGAATCTCAAGAGGGAAGGGGTGGAGAATTAACCAAAAAATTTATATGCATACATGCATAACCCATGGACACA